CTTACCTTTGATTTAAAAGAAAAACATATTCTTGAACTTTTCTAGTATTATCAGGGTAAAATATTCTATGTAAATGACATTTTCCAAATACCAGAAACAATATTTTAAGCGAGATTCTTTTTTGTGTTAACTATCTGTGACATGGAAAGTATATACATCGTACACTTCATACTTCATTGAATAAAGCATAATGAATTAACTTACCTACTTTTCAGCACAACAAGCTGCATGACATTCACTAAGAGTGTAAGAATCTGGGCAAATCCCCAAACACACAGTGGATACACCCCTTAGCATCAGCTGAACATTCTTTAGATACTACCTTAAAAATGCTTCCTAGCCAGGTGCTCCTGTCTTTAATCCTAACTATTCAAGAAGTTGAGATATGAGGACTGTGGTTTGAAGCCAGCCTGAGCAGGAAAGTCCAAGAGACTCTTATTTCCAATCAACCACCAAAAGTCAGAAGTGGAACTATAGCTCAAGTGGTAGAACACTAGCCTTGACCAAAACTGCTTAGGGAGAGTGCCCAGGCCCTGAGTTCAAGCCCCAGAATCAGCACATGGATGCAAAAGCACACATGTACACACATACACTCACACACCAAAAAACACTTGACATATGCAGAGTGACCAGGCCTTTCCTGTTCTGGTTTAATTTAAATCTAACCTACCTGTATTTTTCTGTCTTAATTCATATGGATTTATCCTGGTACCCTTTTTTTTTTGCCAGAGGGCAGTCATATCTGATGTTCTGCTTTGCTTCTCTGGATGTGAGTGTAAATGCACTTGGGCACTAAAAAAAGGTCACTTTTTTCTTACTCTCAGTCCCTCCTTCTCAGATTCTGTTCAGGCCACCAAGACCTGAGGTTAAGGTTGACAGCTTTGGATGATCTTCTGATTTTCAGGATAGAAATGAGTAATTTTCATTCATTTTTGGTGATTACCATTTTAGTTAATAAAAAAAAAGCAGGGAGGGCTGGGTAATGATTTGGATATAGACAGTAACATTCTCTCTCATATCATTCAGTCAAGTAAGACGTGTGAATAAACAAACAAAAAAAACCTACCAAAATCTTAAAATCATCAAAATTCTTTAAAAAGTCTTCTTTAACTTCTTGATGTTTGCCTAAGCTCCTACATCTGCCAAATTACAAAAAGATTAAATATACTTAGAAACACAAGTAGCTGTGCCAAGAATATAGTTTAAGTGGTAGAATGCCCGTTAGTAAGTACAGTCCTAAGGTGGGGAAGAAGAAGGAGAAGGAAGGAAGAAGGAGAAGGAGGAAGAGAGGAGGAGGAGGAGGAAGATAAGGAGGAGAAGGAGGGAGAGGTGAGGGAAAAAGAGAAAAAAGATGAGGAGGGAGAAGAGGAGGGAAAGAAAGTAGGAGGGGGAGGGGGAGAGGAAAGGGGACACAGAGAGAAGAAGAAAGAGGAGAGAAGAGAGGAGGGGAGAAGAGAGAAGAAGAAGGAAGGGGAGAGAAGGGGAGGGGAGAGAAGAAGAGGGAAGGGGAAGCTGACAAGTGAGCAATACAGATAATCAGAAAAACCTACTAAATCATGACAACTTGCAACCTAGTGACTATGTCATCAAGAATATGCCATCAACTAACTTGAGGCTGAAGTCAAAGTTCAACAATTTCTGCTCAAAAGAGATTGTTGGGTCCAAGGGAAGCAGATAAAGACATTTGGGTACCAAAAAGCTGCTAAGATGACCAGGGTTGACTTGTCAAATGTTACTCAATGATCCAGGAGGTTAATAAAGAATGGAAAACACTTAACTGTATTTGCAACTACATTTTTTTTCTTTTGTGAAAATACCGTACAGAGGGGTTACAATTACATGGGCAAGATAATGAGTACATTTCTTATCAAGCATTGTTGCCTCCTCCTTTGTTTCCCCTTACCATCCTTTCCCATCTCCCACCCCCTCACCCACCCCATCCTCCCATCCCCTCAGCCAAAGTTGTAAAGTTCGTTTTCAACAAAACAACTTGTACATCTCATTGTTGCAATAGGTCCACCTGTATCCCTGTTTAAACAATTTGTTTTTTTCCCTTCCCCTCCACGAATTATACCAACATCAAATACAGTGAAAGCAGGGGTTATACCGTGGGGGAGGGACATACAAAGCAACAAAGAAATCATCTTATAAGTATGTTAGACACAATAGCAAGAAAGAAAAAAATTTGAGTCCTTAACTTGGGGTTCATTTCACTTAACATCAACTTATCTGACCATTTCTGCTTGTCTCAAACATATACTAGATATTGCAAATAAGGGAAACCATGGGACCTATGTTTCTTTGGGCCTGGCTAAGATATTATTATTTGTAAGGTATTATTATGCAATTTTAAAAGTATTTGCAAGTGAGATTATTGCTCAATGTTGACAGTCTATCTTTTAGAATACTAGAGACAAATGTTTTGAGAAAGAATTTCATTCACAGCAGTTTATTCTTGAAATTTTTGAAAGATTTTGATCAAAAGCAGCATGACTAATACACAGCAATTAGTCCCCAGTGAGGGAAAAATACCCTTGTATGGCTAGTATTCAGTCTATACAAGTGGACCATCAAGTTTAGGGAAGTTAATCTCCCCATCCCCCACCCCCAGTCATGGGGCCTGAACTCTGGGCCTGGGTACTGTCCCTGAGCTCTTCAGTTCAAGGCTAGCACTCTACCATCTGATCCACAACGCCACTTCCGATTTTCTAGCAGCTTACTGGAGATAAGAGTCTCACAGACTTTCCTACCCCAGCTGACTTTGAACCATGACCTTCAGATCTCAGCCTCCTGAGTAGCTAGGATTACAGGTGTGAGCTACCGAAGTCTGGCATTAATCATCTTTTCTTTTTCTCTTTTTTATTATTTGTTTATTTTTTTAATTTTATTTTATTGTAAAGGTGATATACAGAGGGGTTACAGTTACATGAGGAAGGTACTAAGTATATTTCTTATGGAACATTGTTACCTCCTCCTACTACCCCTTCCCTCCCCCATCTCTTCCCTTTCCTCCCCCCACCCACAAAGTTGTAAAGTTCATTTCCAAAATAGTGTCTTGTGAGTGTCATTGTTTGAATGGATCATCCTGTATCTTTGTTTCAGCATTTTGTTATTCTCCTTCCCCTCTTACCCTGCATCTTGTATGTACATTTATCTAATCATCTTCTTATGACATCATATTTGTACCATCTGGCACCTCCATAAACAGTATACATAATAATGAGTGCTGCTTTCAAGTGGGTTCTAAATACAAGTGTTCTAGCTACATTGCAGTCAACATTCTTTTTCTAAATTAAACACTTTATTGTTTTTCTTTTATTTTAAATTATTTAGTTATTATCTTTGAGACAGGGGGTCTTGCTACATATTCCAGGCTAGCCTTGAGATTACAATCTTCCTGCCTCAGTCTCCCAAGTTTAGGACTATAGGCATGCTCCATCATGCCTGACCTTTAGTTTTTCATTTTCAAAAAATTTTACATATACTTATGTATGTGTGCATATGTATTTTTATCTATATAATCTAATATATATTATATATAGGAAATACAAATTTTTTAACTAAAATTTTCTTAGATAAGGGCATTGAAGTTATATAGAAAAATGTCCTTAATTTTAGAAAATGTATGTTTCACTTTTGGGGACAAAGTACTATAAGGTCTAAAATCCCAAATGGTCCAGAAATGAAAGTCTGTATTTATATAGTATATGTGTGTATGAGTATGTATGTGTACATGCATGTATGGCATATGTATAAGCACATATCTATTTATGCTTTATGTTTGTGTATGCCTGTGTATGTATAACTATATATACAAATACATAATGGGAGATACAAAACAAATGCAGCAAAAAGTTAACATGTGCTACATCTAGATGAAAGGTGTATAAATGGCCATCTCAATTTTCAACCTGTCCCTCAGTGGATGAATGGATCAAAAACATGTGGTCTATGTATACAATAGAATTTTATGCTTCCACCAGAAAGAATGACCTCTCCCCATTTGTAAGAATATGGATAGACTTGGAAAAAATCATATCAAAGGAAATAAGACAGATCCAAAGAAACATAGGCCGCCTGGTTTCCTTCATACGTAACAATTAGTAAATGTCTAGGACAATCCTAGCAAAGGATCACAATAGTTCAATAGCTATGTACATATGATCTTATAAAATAATGCTAATTGAAATGAACTACAAGATATGGAAACAGAAGGTTTTCTTTTTTCATAGTGTACTGTATGCAGTTATTTCTTTTTTCTTTAGTTTTTTACTTTTCCTTTGGTTTACCCCCTGTTGTCACTGTGTTTGTTTTCAGTACCCTTTGTGTTGTACATAAGTTTATCTGATTTGGGGATGGGAAGGGGAATCACAGAAAAGATGGTGAGACAAAGGACAAAAGATGAACCAATACAACAGTCACACTCAAAAGACACTATGTTGCAAATGAACATTACAACTTTGGTGGGGAGTGAGTTGGGAGAGAGGGATAGCGTTGGGGGGGGGACGGAATGAGAGAGGGAAACAATGTTCAACAAGAATTGTACTCATTTCCTTATTTATGTAACTGTAACCCTTCTGTATATTACCTTTACAATAATAAATAAATAAATAAAAATCCAGGAGGCAAATAGAATATATAAAGAAATAAAATTAAATAGAGATAATTAAAACACAACTAATCTATACTTGCTCAACTCTGAGACATTAATACTTCACTAAGAAAGTTAACTTCAAGGCATAATTCCAAAAAGTGGACTCTACTAGATACCACTAAAAGAAAATGTTGGTACATTGACAATAATATACATTTTGTTGTCTCATTAAAGACAAGACAAGCATACATTTCAATGGATTAGAAATAAAATCCAAGAACACAAGTATTCAACTATTTGACAGCAGGTCACAAGCAGTAATCTCTACTTTTCTTTTTGATGGAAAGATTTTCCGGTCTATTTCTCATAGCAAAAAGTCAGATTATATTTTTCATTGTGAACTCACTCTAGAAAATCAAGCCATTCAGCACTGCAGTCAAGGACTAGCTGCTCCCGGAGCTGATTCAGATGTCTGTAATTTTCTACAATAAAAGGAGAGTGAAAGCGGCTCACGGCTTTTGTGCTAGGAGAAAAAAAAAAAACTTAAGTAGGAAATCAAGGTTATAAGACTCAGTAATGCCATCACTTCAGGAAATTAAAGTCATTACTTATTATTCATTGATGAGCCTTGAACATAACTAGCTATAAACAGAGAACATTCTTCAATCATGATCCTGAGCTATTGATGATGAAGAATATGGTTTTGTTCAGAAAGCTTTTTAATTCATTTCAAATTATACCCATATGGTAAAGTCAGAGTTCAGAGTTTGTATTTCATAGGCAAAGGTTTTCTTTTATCTTTAACTTATGCTAAATGAAAACTCCTGCTTAAAAAATAGACCGAAACAGATACAACAAAATAAGGTATAGCAAACCTGCGAGGACACACTGGTGAAGCTCATATTGTTCTTGATATATTTTTATACGTTTATGTTTGGCGAATTTCAGGGAAGAAAAAAAAAAACAAAAACCTAGCACAAAGAACAATGATCCATGAATTCAAGAACCAAATAAAGAAGAGAATTCTGCATATATATATATATATATACATATATATATATACATATATATATATATATATATATATGTATACACATATATCCCTGTTGTCATGTTTAAAGCAGGGATTGCAGTAGTACTTACTTCCCAGGTACTAGGGAGAAGGTCACACGGAGTGTTTAGCACAGTGCTTAGTTACAAGTACTCAGCAAGTATCAAGTGTAGTAGCTACTACTGTTGCTGCTACTATAGGTCAATAAGAAGAAAAGTCAAGGGTCTTCGCACCTTCATTTGTTCCCCTCCTATAATACACTACCATATTAATTTAATCTAGCAAACTACCAGACACTCAAAATCTGACTGATAACCTTTCAACCAATCCTTGTGTCAAGGCCTTAATGTCCAAACAGACAAAATATGATAATGAAACTTCTCCACATCATCTTATTTGTTCATCTAATTTACGTAAGGGAATATCAAAAAGATTCTGGCACTGATTTGTGCCTTGCTTATTGCTTTTCAATTACATTATCCAGAGTTTTGTGTGAATATATTTATCATAACTTTCTCTTCTGGCAACAGCCATTGTGTAAGACATTTCCATTACTGTTCTAGAGTAAGGTAATTTTTAGTAATGCCTCGTTGTATTTCCATTTATTAGCTATAGTATAGCTAATAAAAAGCAGATAAGGGAAAAGATGGCTGCCAAGAGAAAAAACATAGCCTAAAATCAACAGTACAACTTCTAGCAGTAAAAAAAGATAGCATTAGAGCAAAGTAACCCACACTATGCCCTCAGTGTCTGTTGCTATCGTAATAGGGAATAAACAATTGTTGCTTTTTAGTTAAAACAGCAACAAAAAAATAATAACCATTCACACATCATGTCAAACTTTCTTCCCTCTATCCCTAACACAGAATTCCTTCATACCTTCACCAGCTACTTATCTCTCTGAAGTTATCTTAGGCAAATGAAACATCTTTATCTTATTCACATAAACATATAACTAATAGCACTAATAAGTGTTCCAAAAGTGTACTTCTCACAGCAGTACACAATCTTCTGACGCTGCTGCTTTAGAGTCCCCTCTAGAGGAGTAATGCTAATCAAGGAAGAAAAGACAGTCTCAATGTGCTTCTCTAATATTTTTATAATTTATGTGTATCAGTTAATGATAAGTTACAAAAGTAACATTCTAGTCAGGCATGGAAGCAGAGCTCTGTAATCTCAGCACTTGAGAGGCTGAGGTAGGAGGATTATCACTTGAAGGCTAACCTTCAACTTGTTTCTAAACAAATTTTTTTAGAGGGGCTCAGTGTTAGCCTGGCATGCACAATGCCCTAGGTTCAGGCCTTTGTATTGCAAGATTTTTTTTTAAGTGAAGACTATTATAACTGTGTGCCAGGAAAGCACTAACTACAAAGAAATGTGAAGTTCACTGAGGTAGAAAATGAAATTTCAGTTTCTTAAAAGAAATGTCAGGCCCAGCATTCATCAAATGGCTCAGCAACCAAATTAATCTCACACTGAAAGATCCCTCAGTGATTTTTTTTTCCTTGTATTCTCTGAACTATAGGGGTAACAGCAAAAATTTACAAAACAGGAAAACAAATGTATGAAACTGAGATGTACTTTTAGAAATATTTTTAAGTCATTGATATAGGATTAAATTTGATGTCTTAAATCTGATATGATTAACTCACTGATGTCCTTGGTTTAAAACTCGATAAGAAAATCAAACAAAAAATTGCTTTACCTTCAAGAATGTGGCTATTATCAATCCAGTAGCACATGAGTATACAAATGTCATAATTCATATTAGAAACAAAAAAAAAGGACTTGAAACATACCTTCCAACCTTAACCCAATCCGTTGGTATGCAAGATATAGCGGAGTTCTTTATTTCAATCATAAACTAAAAGAAACAGAAATGAACATTTAGACATTTATGTAAGTAATCATTACATTTTTGAAAACTTCCTCAAAATTTTGATATAGCAATTAACATGATCATAAACATTCTAAATAAATGTAACTTTGTTTACATATGGCAGCAGAGCCAAATCTCATTAATCTAGGTCCCAATACTTATGAACTTACATTCAGTAATAAATTCATTATAAAGGATATTAACATGGGGCTTGAGTTCATGCTTATATGATTGTCGTGTGCATATTTTAATGGTGGTTTTTCATTAGCAATCTCTAATTTATTAGTATCTACTTATCTTAAGACTTCTATTACTCAGACCAGTTTACAATCTTACCCACATAAAAATTTAAAATATTAATTATAAAATGTAACACCAGTTTGAGATATATGGTCCTTGCTCTATTCTGAGCAGAAGGTCCTTTTTGTAATCATTTTTCAATAAGAAATCTGAATTATTTAAAAGTATCCTCATAAAGAAAGTCTTGATATCGCCGATAAGAAAATATTTTTCTTCATATGAAAAGAAATAAGTTGCACTTAAAGGAACCCTATCTTTAGAAATCCAACAGTGTTGTACACACAAGCTTCTCTGCCAGGAGACGAGTGAACTCAAGCTCTTCCATTCTGCTTTTCATTTTTAGCACTAGCTATACATCATTTTGGGACTCTCATCTTGTAAAATTGCAAAAAAAAAATACAGCACTCTGTTGAAATAAACTTTAAAAATTGGTTTTATAGAGAATGGGATCCAGAAGCTCCTCAGAGATGGTTATGGGAATTCTTTTTTACACTTATACATTTCTTACATTTATACATTTATATGATATGCATATAACCTTAGGAATAACATTTTATACTACTAGTAGTATCAATCTCCTTATGAGTTTGATTTTCCTTTCATATAAACACTTACATTTTTACATTAATGGCTGATTTTAAGAATTTTCATCTTTAGCAAAAATTTCAGAATTAACAATGTCCTTGTCTATAGAAACGTATAAACATAGCAATAAATCTGCTGTACTCAATGACATAGTTAAGAGTGACGAAGGGAAGTGGAAAAATGGGGGACTGGAGCTACTCCAGCACTTCTTACATCACCAGAAATCTGAAACAAAATATCAGGTATGGGCTGGGTGTGGTGGCTCATGCATGTAATCAGGAGAATCAAGTATAGGCAAAAAGTTTAATGAGACCTCTATGTCAATCAACAAGTTGAGAGTGGTAGCAATGATCTTGTCATGACAGCTATGTGAGAGACATAGGCAGGAGGGCTGTGATCTGAGGCCAACCCTATCCAAAAAATAATAACTAAAGCAAAAGTCTGCATGCATGGCTCAAGTACTAAAGCACCTACGTAGCAAACAGAAGGCCCCAAATTCAAACCCCACTACTGCCCCAAAGCAAAAGTTAATAATAATCAAGTGTATGACTCTGTGAAGAAGAGAGTGGCATAGGAAGGCACAGGAGTGCAAAAGGAAGCAGCAGGCAGAGACCAGGTGGTATATAGAAATAACTGAAATGAAGCAAAGGGCTCCAATACCAGGGGCTGAGCCAATGGCAGGGAATGGGCAGAGCTCCCTTCAGCAGGTCTTGAAGCAAAAAGAAAGCCCATAAGGCTCCATAGACACCATCCTGCACTCTGCAAAAATGTCATTTGCAATGGGAATCTATGATCTTTGCAGCAAGTAGAACTAAAGAAGGGGCCCCATGCAGTTCCTGGCTTGCTCCCTAATGTCCTGGCAGACAATTACCTTGAGAAAGGTCTTGCAGTTAGATCTTTCCACTGAAGATAGGAAAAACTTCTGTGCTTTGGTATCTTCAAATCCTAAAGCCCATCCCATCCACTGGTTAGTAAGCCACCACCCTGAGAAATCCATGTGAGTCCTGTTAGCTTTTGTGACATGGAAGCACTTATGGAGAGAGGTCTACATGGGGAAGTGAGATCTGCACTACACAGGAAGGGGAGCTTGACAGGAGTGTGTGAAGAAGGGCAGGGTAGCTAGGAGACAGACTGTGACCAAGACACTGAGAGTCGCATGGTATGCATGCCTAACTGCCAGAGCACCCTGCCTCCCCTCTGACTGCTTTCTACACTCAAGGAGCCCAAAGACCCCTGGAAAGGCAGCTGCTTACTCAGGGTATGTACATGCCCACATAGACAAGGCACCTCCAGTGCGCTGACATTCATCCCTGCATGCTTGGGCTCAGCTGTCATGGAGTAGGCACTGTGAGTGAACACTGGCAGACAAGAGAACAGGCAGTGGTCACAGAAGTGTCTGTGTCCTGGAGGGAAAGGTGGATGGAACTCCCCATGCAAACAACCCTGTTTGGTGTAATCTGTTTGGTCTTCAGAGAGAAAAGAACTCACTGTTACCCAAGTGAACTGCAAAACAGCAGGCCTAGGAGAAGAGGGAGCATCTCCATCCTCTATCTTCTCAGGAAAGAAAAAATATGAATGGGTCTTTTGACTTTTTTTTATCTCCCTATTGCTTAGATTTTTTTTACCTTGTTCTGTATTTGTTGTATTGGGTATTTCCTGTTATTTCTTATACCTACCTTTCTTATTTCTTAGCCTATCTTTTTTCTTATTTCCTTTGGTCATTCCCCTTCCTTTTAGTATTAGTTTATGGATTTTATTAATTTATGAATTTTCTAAATCCTAGTTTATTCTCTAGCTCCTTTCCTTTCAAGAGCATAGTTGATGCTTAGAAGATAATATATAAATACTGTCAAGTCTAGGGTTTCTTCTCTTTTATTTGGTAGTATAAGGGTTTGAACTTAGAGCTTTGCATTTGCAGGACAAAGGCTCTGCCATTTGAACCACACTTTCAGCCTTCTTGTATTTGAGCTTTACAAAAGAGTCTTTGCCTGAATCAACAATCCTCCTACCAATGAGTTTCTTTTCACAAAGCTGAAACCACAGGTACTCAACACCACACATAGCTTATCTGTTGAGAGGGGACTTCAATCTGCAGCTCTTCTGATCTCATGCTTTCTTGAATAGCTGGGATTACAGGCATGAGACACCACATAGGCCTATGTTTGGCTAGTACTGTTTATTAACTAGTAATTATACTCTCAACTTCAAGGGTAAGGGCAGCCATTTAATCACTATGCGATCCAAGAGAATTGATAAGGTTATCATTTCATCATCGATAAGCCAGGACCAAAGTCTAACTTCTCGTTCCTGGATTCTGAGCGAGTGAAATTTCTAAGTTACTAGTCGTAACTTTTTTTCTGAAAGAGGGCTGGGAAGGTGGCTGAGTGGTAGAATGCTTGCCTTGCATGCATGAGGCCCTGGGTTCGATTGTTCAGCACCATACAAGCAGAAAAAGCTGGAAGTGGGGTTGTGGCTCAATGTAGAGCACTAGCCTTGAGGTGAAGAGCTGAGGGACAGTGTCCAGGCCCAGAGTTCAGGCCTACGACCAACCCAAAAAAAAAAAAAAATTCCCTGAAAGAAAATCAAGAGATAACACCATAACACAAGACTTTATCAAGAGATTAAAAAACATCATCATTAAACTATTTCTTATTCAGGGGTAGGGAGAGGCTCAAGCAGTAGAACATCTGCCTAGCAAGCATAAGTCCAAATCCTACAAAATAAAAAAGAAGAAAAAAACCAAAATGTTTTCTATCAACCATATGAGTTATTACAACATACTTCCAAGGAACAAAATGATTTCAAAATAAAAAGAAGTCTTGTGGAGGAGATGGGGAAAAACCAGTTGTTTAAGGATACAGGTGGACCTGTTGCAACAATGAGAAGTACAAGTTGTTATGCC